TGCTGCCCAAACAAACTATGCTCAGGGGTAGAATAAATGCCATTATTCGAGCGCGCTGCCACTCGTATAAAACCCACAGAGATGCATCATCTGTGTCGTGGACGTTGTTCTGGCTAAGGAGAAAGTTATCACGGACACATTCCGTGTTCTACAACCCGGTTTGGCTGCCCAATATTTCACCCGCATGCCACGTTAGCGTTAAAAATTGCACCGTACATAAACGTCTAAAAAAACGCAACGTACGTGGCTCGACACCCACGGTGACAAAGCACACAAACAGGGACCGAGCGCTGTCAGCCCCGCGCACAGGTACGACTACCGACAGAACACGACCGACCTCGCAGACAGGTACATACCGAGCGCGGCGGAATGTAGATAAGCACGACCGAGCACGACACGTCTGGCACATCTAGCGCAAAAAGAACTGCAGCAGACAACAGACTCGCCACGCTCGCCACTCGCTCGCACCACAGGGGTGACACGACCACGAGCTGTAAGGTGGAATTGTATTTTAAAGACTAGCCGCTTAAGTTACCGAATACATCATCACACCCAGGGGGTGAATTTAGGACTCCGTTAAGTGAAGGGCCATGCAACACTGTGGGCCACGTAGAGTTTGGGACACCTTCCAGAAATAGCCCACTACGGCCATGAAATTTTAAGATGAATAGTGCATAACGTTTACATACATACGTACATAATATACATGTATATAATGTATGTATATATATAAATACAAGTATAAATACACACACGGATATATATATATATATATATATATATATATATATATATATATATATAGATATATATAGATATAGATATAGATATAGATATAGATATAGATATATATATATATATATATATATATATATATATTTATGTGTATATATATATATATATATATATATATATATATATATATATATATATATATATATATATATATATATATATATATGCACATATATTTATGTATACCAGGCGTGCAGGGCACACACATACACACAGAGCTCCTGGGCTTTCTCCGGATCATGAAAAATCTGGCCGTTTTAAGGCTAAGTGCTTGGGAAAAAAAGGCCGAACAAACTTAATCTGCCTGCTAAATGCCTTAAAAATCAAGCACCAGTTTAATTCCTTGTTTAATTACTGCTAACCGGCTGCTTGATGTGATCAACTGATCGCTGTGACCAGTGCAGAATTCTTCCTCTGCTATAAAATAGTACAAAATATCCTAGCATTTAAAATGTCCTAAGAGCGTGATGCACAAGTAAGGTTGGTGTTACGCGTTCAGTAGCCAAGGAAAATAACACGAACGACGTCAACGGCACGTAAAATTACGTTCGAGAATTGCGCATAAAAATTCGTAAGCCTACATCCAATTGCTGCTTTAAGGACAAGGCACCGAGGCCAAAAGGCATGGAGCCTGAGAGGTCAAATTGCCGCGGGGAGACAGCACATAAGCTCTCGTCAACAAGTATAGTGTCCTCAGAGCAAGCGAGAAGAACCCAATACCAAGATCTGGGCCGTTGAGCGATCGGTAGTGGCCCGGCGGGCTGACATGTAAGACCCCTGCCAAAGCACAGGGCCCTCTGAGCAGAGGAAAATTACCGAGGACTAATGCAATGAATAAATGCCCCTTGCGTTCAACAGTGCTTGAGCAGGTTAACAGAAAGGGTTCGATAGGAGTGAAGGGTCCTCCGCAAATGGGATCAAAGGGCAAGAGCCCTAGATCAAAGTAGAGGGCCACTGAGTATCACGTGACTCGGTGCCTTGCCGTGTAGCTTGTCCTAGCAACAGCACCTTGGTACCTTGCCCTAGCAACAGCACCTCGGTACCTTGCCCCAGCAACAGTACAAGGCCCTTCGAACAAGTGGAAAGAACCCGACACCAATGTGAAGTGTCCCTTAGCAACTGAGTGTATCCTGGCATGCAGAACCCCGGAAAAAGCGCATGGAACCTCTCAGGCGGATGGGAAGAATCCCATTGGAATGGAAAGGCGAATGGAAAGGCGAATCGGGCGAATGGAAAGAATCAACCAGGCAAACGTGATTGATTAAGAGTGCCCAGGCACGCAAGCAGGTAGTGCCCCGACAGCAGCGTAGGGCGCTGCCAGAAAATGCAAAGTGATCAAGGGCGACGTGGATGGCTCGTTAGCGATCAAATTAACGCACGCCCGGATGGCTGCTTGGATACCCTTCGCTCGGGCGGGAGGTCAATTTGACCCCGCGAAGGTCTCAAGAACTAAGAGGGATATTAATACCACATTCACCGGGCGTATTGGCCTGTACGTGGACTCACTAGGGTCAAAATTTGAGCGTCTTAGGGAATGAACTTTGGGTCAAATAAGGTCAAACAAGGTAAAATCCGAACTTGGTCTCCAAAGTGTTCGCGGAACCGAGATATGTGATTTAAGCAAAAAGCCACATGCTTTCTTGAGGTCAGTGACCTTGTTTGACCTTTAGAAGATCATAATGGCCAAAATCATAGAAGACTGCTTCGAGTTTTGCATTCTAATACACGACAAAGATTAAGGTAGGCAGTATATTTCTAAAAACGAAATGTTGACCCGCGTCATTTTAGGTCAGTAACCTATTCCGGCCTATAGTAAGTCCATGGAATATGTATAATGCGGTTCATGTGATCAATAAAGTCGAAATGCGCACCAGAAACTACCCCAAACAGAAAGCCCTAGACTAATAAAACGGGTTGTTTTTGACCTTGGTGTGACCTTTATATCTGACCCGTTCAATGTAATTCAGTCATTCAATTGTTGTGTTGCCTCAGAAAGTATTTCAGGGGTGTATGGCTTCATCCAACACTCCGTTGTTCCATCAGATTGAGCGATACCCTTGACATTGACTTTGCTGAATCCATGGCCTGAATTTGATCTGCCGTGCGTCAGTGACCTTACAAGGTAAATCCAGTTTTTATACTACATGTTTGCTATTTAGTTGTCCACAGCTATGCAAAAATTGCCTTAGCTGCGTTGCTCCGTTCGGAAACCATCCCAGAAAAACCTCGGGGTGGGGGGGGGGAGTGGGGGGTCAATTTGAACCCCCCGCCATGCGAGTGCGTAATAACCCGACAAACGTACATATATGGGCCCAGGCAACAGCGTAAGGCCTCTGGACAGCATAATGTGCATCAAAATGCCCCCCAATCACCACCCTCCCAACCAAGCAAAGAAATAACTTTGTCTGCTCATGGACTCTTCACATTTGCTTGCAGCTTGGTGGTCTGGAGGCCCAAAAACGTCCAATTTTGTCACGCTTTGTATTAGAAAACTGCGTCCGTTCGGCCGGTTATGAGCCCTTTGGAGCCCATGGGTCCCCTCGGAGACAAGCGGGCATGGTCCTTTGCCTCCCATCTGTATCCGCCACGGCCCGAGCAACTTAATAGATGGGGCCCCGTCAAGAACATAGAGCCATCCATTCAAATAAGATGTACCCAATGTACAACACACACACAACAACATGCCCCGAACAATGGAGTGCGCCAAAGCAGTGTGAGATATAGGGCCCCCAACAAAAGTGCAGGGTCCTCCATTCAAATATAAAGTGCCCAAAAGGCAATGGAAATGACAGCAGAGTGCTTGTCAGAAGGAGCCCGACAAGAATGTAAGGTCCTCCATTCAATTGAGAAGTACCCAGCACCCAGTGCGGAGGGCCCCGAGAGATGGAGTGTACGCTAGCAAGTTATCAGATGGCCCCTGATAGGAGCACAGGACACTAACTTCAACCACCAAGATTCAATGTGCAGGGCCCCCGAACAACCCAGTGTGACCGAGCAAGTAAACAGAGGGTCCCCCGAAAAGTGCGTAGGAGGCCTCCATTCAAATAGCGAATACCCAAGACATAATGTGGAGGGACCCCAAACGATCGAATGTGCCCGAGCAGTATAACAGATGGGGCCCTGAAAAACGTTTAAGGCCCTCCATTCATTTAAAAATCACCCAAGAACCAATTTTTGGGGGCCCGAACAACCGAGTGTGCCCAAGCAAGTTGACGGGTGGGCCCCCGAAAAGAGCGTAGGAACCTTACCAAATAACAAACAATCGAAAAGACCCTAGACCAATTAGAGGGCCCACGAGCATATGGTGAGTGTGCCTGTAGACTAGTCGAGATCAACGTGCACGGCCCCTGAGCAACCGAGAATACCCCGGCATGTTAACACATGAGACCCCCGGCATTAGCGTACAGGGTCTTTCTGGCGAATGGAAAGAATCAGTGGAAGGCCCCTGATTAATAAGAGCGCTCCGGCACGCTAGCAGGAAAGGTCCAGCAGCAGCGCAGCACAGTTTAGAAAGCTCCTTAACGACCAGATTGGTCCTGAAAGTGGGCATATAGGTACCCCAGTAACAAAATAGGGACTCTGGACAGCGTTATGAGCCTTAACATCTCCCAATTATCGCCCTCCCAATCCGCAAAGAGCTATTTTTATCTGCTCGTGGGTCCATCACATTCACTTGCGGCTGTTCTTGGTTACCGGGAAACCCAAAAACGTCCAATTTTTTGCGTTTTGTGTTAACAGCCGCATCTGTACGGCCAATCATACCTACCGCTAAATCTTACGCAGTCGGCTCACTGGTCATACATATCTGTTACACACAGTTTGTTCATCATCGGCACGAAGAGGGCCCGATGTTCCTGCTGCCCTATGGCGGATAGGTCTTGTGTGCACGTCTTCACTTTTCAAGCCATTACGTTTTAATGATTTACAGCATGGGCTTTCAAAGTACAGTATTATGCTTGCCATACAATTCTATTTGGGTGGCTTGCTGGTCATATGCACTTCCGCTGACAAGTTTTTCATTAGCTGTATGAATATTTCGGTGTTCCAGTCGTCCATCAACATGACGTCAAACACCTCGCCACCCGACATGCATTGAAGGCTCTCACCCAGTGACGTCACGCAAACGTTATGCGAGGATGAAGCAAGAATTACGAGACAGGTTTACCCCTCCTTTTCGGTCTTGATTGGTATCGGAGTGCCGTATGCTGGTGGCGTGGCAGTGACTGTGGGGCTGTGCCTCTGTTGGTGCGCGCGGGGTGCACTGATCAGTTGCATATCATTCTTGCATGACACACAAGGTTACAGGTAAGCTTGAGACATTGTGCTTGAATTGTCTTTGCATAATTTTTTTATGGTGTTACCGTTCCGAACGTACAGAAACCCGTCAGAGTTGTGCGCTGCAATTGCGGCGCAGAACTCTGCTGCAGTCTTGGTACTTAAATCACAGTCGCTTTGCCTGTGACATTTTGATTGATAGTCAGGGGCATAGCTAGAGGGAGGCCACAAAGACGATGCCCCCCACCTGACCTAGGATTTTAACAATAAACTTGACAATTTTTCAGGAATTTGGTCAGGTTGCAGATATTTGGGGAACATTTGACACTTGATCTGCCCTGCGTGGTGTGCATGCTTTTAGCTTATTTGTTTCTGCTCAGTTTTGTGCAACAAGCCCATTCCTTCCAACTATTGTTGCCACTTGAGCTGCAGGCCCACAAGGCACAGGCTTAACAGGCCTGGAGGGCTATTGGTAAGCATTGCTGATGGCATTGTGGTTAGGTGTCATTATTCTTTATCTAAACTTATCGCACAAGTGTTTTCTTAACAACAGGTTTTGAAATTATTAACCAACAATATTGGTGGTAAGTGCCAATGAAAAATGGCTTTTCTTTGCACAGAAATGATGAAATATGGAGGTCACATTTTAGTTTACAATTTTCAGCTATACAATGTATAGAATTTCATGAACATATTATTCATTATGTGCTTTACCTTCAAGAAAAGACTGCCATGGCATAATAACTCATACATACAGTTAGGAGCACTTACATACCTAACATAACCATTTTGGGAGGATAGCATCTAAACACAACAGTAAAAAATGCTCTGAAATAGTCCTAGACTAGTGGTAGATTCTGCCAGGAGTGTCCACTCCTATTCAATCAGTGGGCACCAGCTCTAGCCCACAGCAGCTTGATGAGTTAAGTAATTGGTCTCTGCTCAGCCCGACCCAGTCACACCAATATTTTGTTAAACTACACTCCTGGGTGTGAACACTTTTGCACTTGAAGCAGAAATCTAGTATTCAAAGGACAGTTCAGAAGTTTAACTATAAGCCTGAGTAGCAAAATCAACCATTTTACTGATTGCTGGCCATGGAACATGAGTTGTTGTCTTGGTGTGCTGTGGCCATGAACAATGTTGGATATTCATCCTGTGAAATATTTTATGCCTGGGGCTATTCATTTTTCTTTGTATATGCCATTGTTTCTCTGTGAAATTGATTGCTTGGGTAGTTTGAAGTACCTAAAGTCCATGGGCTTTAGGTGGCCAAAGTTTGTTGAAATAAAGGATGTCTACATATGCAGATACTTTACACTGAAGTCATTTGAACTTATGTAGGTGTTGAGTCAGGCTTAGTTTTTAAATTCTTATACTGTTTGTAGTTGTCTGATTCCTTGCCCTCCAAGGTAAAGATTGTTGATGCTTTTGAAGACCCTCCTAATGAAGAAGAGGATTTTGTTTTGAACAAAGAGGCTCTATACATTTGGCCAAAGAGATTGCATGTGTTGGGTCTTCAGCAGTCCATTCAAAATGGCTCATAGTTTTATATCTTGAAATAGTAAAATTGAACAAGATCACTCATTAATGGTTCATAAAGACAGTTGTAACAATGAATGTTTTTAGATTTGGACTTTTCAATACAAAAAGTGATCCTTTTATTTTCATCAAGCAAGAATATGTGCTGGAAATTGGTAGGTGTTGTAAGGCTAGGCATGCTAGAGCTTAAAGAAAGGATGAATATGCCCCTTTTATTTTCATCAAGCAAGAATATGTGCTGGGAATAAGTAGGTGTTGTAAGGCTAGGCATAATAAAGCTTAAAGAAAGGATGAATATGCCTTAAGGTTTCTTAAAGCTTCTTATTTTGGCAGCAACAGTAAAGGATGCGGTATGTGTGCCTGGAATAAAACAAATAAGCTTAGAGGGCCCATACAAGGCTTTTGGGGGGCACCTGCCTATGGTGAAGTTGCAGGCATTCCAGATCTAAAAAGAGCAGCTTTAATGCCTACTACAAATCCAGGTGCTCATGGTTGGTATATGGTCAGCACCAATATCTGTGTGTGGACAGCCAATTATGCAACAAATTTGTGGTGTCAAGAGCAGTTTCAGGCAAAAACACATGCAAAACATTTTTAAAGGGAAAATTAGTCAATAATTCAGCATTATTCTGGTCAGGCCTGTGCTTGGCACACCTATGTGCCTGGTTCAGTGCATCACATTCAAGTGAGAATCCAGCACAGTGGATGCTTCTTTCAATTTGGACAGTAGCTTGAGCATGTTATGGTAATTTACCAAGCACTGCAATATACCAGCATCATATTCCTTGTTGGCTTTGCATGTTGTTTCACAAATGCACTTGTTTGTTAATTTCCCTTGTCTTCACCTATAGCAGACATTCAAATGCTGCTAATCTGCAAATTAGTCCAATATGGAAATCTGTGCCATCATATGCCTGTGATAGATCTTGTCTGTGTCAAACTGTATCAACTGCTTTTAGCTATGGAAAAGCATTGGTCTCCAGTTATTTTAGCTGAAGTCCAATGCCTAATGTCTCAACTATAATAGTTGAAAAGTATTAGGACACAAAATATGTTGAGGCATGTATGTTGTATCTGTCCATGTTGTATAATCCTCTGCCAGTTGTCCATTGTGCAGCAGTAGCTTTGCAAAGTGGGATCCAATGCACAGCAAAGACATAGTAGAGCTTCAGGCCCCTTATGCAAAAACTCAATCCACCATGCCAGATGGCTCAAATATACCAAATTTTGCATACCATGGACTCAGGAGAAAGTAGTTTGGTGCATGTATTATTTGATAGTTGATTTGTGATAACAAATTATTTATATCTTAACATATATGGTGCATATATACATAGAGATAGCAACCCATTACCAGCCACATTCACTGGGTGCCTAGTATGATTAGGTGCCTGACCACAGTCTTGTGGCCCTTACCTCAAACCCTGAGGAAGCATTATGATATTTCAAGGCATCTGGTCTGCCTCTGGAAGCTGAAGTCACAGCACAAAATGATGAAAAACCCTGCTTAAATGGGGAAGGCTGATCAAATGCAAATCACCATGCATTTGTTATGATATTACAAACTCTGTTGACTAGGAGATCATTAAAATGACAAGTTAAGGTTATCACAATTATTGAATTGGGTGTGTTGCAGACTGGTCATATTCTCTAATACTTAGCATGCAAACCAAGGTGTTTTGCGCTCCGCTGTTTGGTTCCCGCGCGCCGCTGCAGACCAAGGTGTTTTGGCTGCCCCGCTGGCAGCGTCGTGACGTATATCGGCCGTTCACAGGCGGCACCATGGGCTGTCTCATCGCACGGCGGCTGGGCATCAGCAGCTGGGTGGCACTCTTCCTGTTCGGCGTGGTCGGCGGCTTCTTGCTGGCCGGCATGCTGCTGCAGGAGAGCAGGCTGGAGGAGTTCACGTTACCCGGCACGGCGCCCATGGTGCTGCCCGCCTCGGGCGGGCTGAGCGCGCCGTCGGCACCGCTGGCGCAGACCGCGCGCGACGAGCTCGACACGTTCGAGCCGGTGATCCGCGCGCCGCTGCCCAACGTCAAGGCGGCCACGGGTGAGTGGGCCGCACAAGCATGGCTCGGTGTTGACAGACGGAGAAACCGGACTCCGGACATGCATTGTCACGGGTGCATCATACGAAAACGGCCGCAAGATCGATGGAAAGTTTCACAAGCGTCGACTCAGTGCAATGCGATGAAAGTAATGTCAGGGAATGTGGCAGCTTCAGCGCCCTTTGGGCACTACAGTTGTCGGTGTTAAGGGCTCGGCTCTGTATTATTTTGCTGAATGATATTGAGATGGGCTTAGAAAGTAAGTTGCTAAGATTTGCTGACGGTATTGAATTGGCAGGAATGTCGAAAAAGATCGGTCAGGTGAAACTTGACGTAAACAAATTAGTGAACTGGGCCTCTCTGTGGCAGCTGTTACTCAATTATGATAAGTGTAAGGTGATGCATTGGGGTAGTTGTGGATAGTGAGGGCATTAGCTATCAAACGAGAGGCCTGGAGTTGGACCAGATCGAGGACGAACTGGACTTAGGGGTCATAATTTCCAGCCATTTGAAGACTGAAAAGTAATGTGGGGCTGCTAGGAGCAAGGCACTTCGGATGCTGGGACTTTGGTTGGTTATGCCCATTACAAGGATAAGAATGATGTCAAAAAGTTGTAGTTCCGTTATGTCAGATCACACCTAGAGTATTGTGTGCAGAATTGGTTCTTATGCTTCCCAAAAGATATAGATGGACCGGAAGAGTATAGCGAAAAGAAACTAGGATGATACATGGGATTGGCAACTTAGAATGTAAGGATGGGCTTAGGGCATTGGGTTTGTGTGCACGGAAATATCGTGGGCTTAGAGGGCATCTGGTAGAAGCGTTCGAGATTATGAAAGGGATAGACAAGGTAGATATACAAGGTGCACTGGAAATTAGGCCGGGACGTGGTGGAAACCAGTTTCATTTAGAAAAAGTCGGGAGTGGAACCATTAAGAGGCAGATGTTTAGTCGAACAGTGGTGAATCAATGGAATGGACAGTCAAACAGAGTTGTAGGAAGTCTTAATCAACATTTAAAAGTCGTTTGGAGAAGTTCTATCGGCCTATCTAAGGATCTCAGTTATAGCTAAATTGAGGCAGGTCAGGTGGTAGGATTAGTTTCGGGGATGTGTGGAAAACCCGAGGGTAGGTCAAGCTCGATTGGGCCTTCTAGCTCTTCGTTGGCCTGACGTTTATATGTATTTATGTCTTGGACAAGGCAAAAAGCCAACCGTCGAATGTCGGCACGACTGGTTCCAGTTCTTGGCGGCCTCTGTCATCCGATTAGTCCGGCCCCGTCTGCTTGCGTGCTGCAAATTTCAGACGTGTGCCTGCTAGCCCAGGCCACGAATGAGCCTCAGCCCCACTATGGGATTCTCAGCATTCTCCGGACTCAGCGGAGGAATTCGCGATTCCCCAGACCTTGCTCGGGCGGCGCGTTTCCCACCAAAAGGCGGCGGCCCGTCGCCGGACCGGCAGCCCGGCCGGCCGGTATTCCGCGCGTCACTGGCCGCAGAGTGGGGAGGGGAGCGGGCGACCTCGGTCACCCGATGGTCGGCGTCTTTGTCCGCGCTGCGCTGGTAGGTGAAGGACGCCATGGGATTGGCGCGCGCCAGGCCTTTGTGTGGCTGGCGTTTGAAGAGAGCTCATGACGGAGAATCAGTTCGTTCACGTGTGACGAAAAAAGCTAATGACGGCGCCAGTAGGATACAGAGGCGCTTCGGAAACGGGTGGAAACGGGATGTTGCTTAAAGTTCCAGCAGTGAACGCGAAGTATCTGTGTTGACCTCATGACCTGTGATCTATGTGTAACGTGCGGTCATGATGACTGGCAAACGAGATAAGACCGATACGGAATGCTCAACTCTAGTCTAGTAGTGAAGTTTGTGTTCACTGCCTTCGGAAGCATGTCAATTCCCGGCGAGATCTCAATCGAAATAATCAGCTTTTTATTTACGGATGACCTGTTTTGATCCATCGAGACACTGACAAATGCTTGCAGTAAGATAAACGGGCTCCCGTATTGCATGCCTCTCAAAAACGTTCGAGGAGTTGGCGTCTGCTTTGTTCTGCTGCCGTTCAGAGCGTGTGGTCGGTCCCGGTTAGCGCTCACAGCAGCAGCTTCGTCTTCCCAGCCGTAACTGCTGCCGGTTGCCCTGATCCCCTTGGTGACTGCGGCCGTGCCACCTGACCTCGCCGACCACCCTCCACGTGCCGAGTACCCTGACCCCTTTAGTGACCTGGTCGTGCCACCTGACCTCGCTAGCCACCCTCCACGTGCCGGGTGGGGGACCGCGGCCGTCCACCTGACCTCGCTAGCCACCCTCCACGTGCCGTGACCGCTGCTGAGCGGGCCGTGAGCGCCGCCTCACCCGGCTGCCTGCCTGCCCAGACGAGAAGTTCTCGCGGCCGCGCTTCTACTCCACCGAGCTGGGCACGCACCGTAAGCTGTACGTGGCCGTGCTGACGTCACCGGACACCGTGCACACGGAGGCGCGCAACATCAACCAAACGCTCGCCCACATCACCACCTCCATGGGCTTCTTCATGACCGGCGAGGCCAACATGGCGCTGCCCAAGAACCTGCACGACGTGGTCATCTTTCCGTCGGAGGTAGGACCGCGGTGTGGAAGCGTGCGCTGACGGGGACGGGGGCGCGACTTTGTCGGCGGCTTTTACCGCCCGCTGTCTTCTGATCACGATAGAGCCGTTTTGTGTGATGTGTTTGTTTGTCGGCGCGGTGACTGCAGTCGCATAGGTGTTCTCGGGTGAACAGCGAGGCGTTCTCTGGTGAGCAGCGAGGCGTTCTCGGATGAACAGCGAGGTGTTCTCGGGTGAGCACCGAGGTGTTCTTGGGTGAACAGCGAGGCGTTCTCGGGTGAGCAGCGAGACGTTCTCGGGTGAGCACCAATGCGTTCTCGGGTGAGCAGTGAGGCGTTCTCGGGTGAGCACCGAGGCGTTCTCGGGTGAGCAGCGAGGCGTTCTCGGGTGAGCTCAAGGCCGCCTGTGCGCCGTGCCGCCCGGCTGTGTGCGCTGGTCCGACTGGCGGTCTGTAGCCCCAGCGCTGGCCTGCGTGCATTGGGCCGATGATGTGGGATAGCTATCTGGCGCCGCCACCGTCGCAGGCGCCGTGACCTGACGCCGTGCCGCCGCGTCCTCAGGACATGGACCTGCCGCTGAAGACGGCCGAGTACCTGGCCGACCACCACGGCCACCTGTACGACTACTTCTTCGTGGTGCGCGACTCGACGTACGTGCGCGGCTACCGGCTGCAGGAGCTGGTCGAGGACCTCAGTGTCAGCGTCGACGTGCTGCTGGCCGGCCGCGTCGGCGGGCGGTGCCAGCTCGGTACGTGCAGCGGCGGCTGCCGCGTCACCGGCGCCCCGGCCGCCGCACCCGGAGACGTCCGGTCTGTCGGCGGTCGTTGACCCCGCCCGCAGACTGCTGGTGGGGGCGGGCGCATGGCCGGTCGCCGGCGCCGGTCGCGGGCCGAGGCGACCGGCTTGGCCGTGTGGTAGGGCTGGTTGTTGAGGCTCGCGGTGCTTTGGGAATTCGAGGATTGGGAATCCGATCTAACTTCGGTTTTCTTTCGGTAGTGCTAGGCGTGGTGGAGCTGTGATATCTGAGTTTTCTCTCTGCCTGATTTTCCAGCATGCACCGTTATGTAACTCCAGAGGCGTTCGTGCACTCGCGCAGTTGATTAAGCTTCTCTCGTAGACATAAGGAAGTAAATTAGAAAGTGACCTAGTGATTGACGGTCTTGTAGTCATGCAAGCGTGCTTTGGCGAATGGAATCCGAATCATGCATACGAATGAAGCTGGATCGAACGCATGGATATTTCAGCGCTGTCCTTCGCTAGATGCCACGAGCCTCGCCAAACCCGACCCCTCACCCAGTGTGACCCCCTTGTCCAGCCGAGTGTGGCGTCGCAGCACCGCTGAGTGACGGTACGGGCCTGTCGTCGCCGCGGCCCGCCGCGAGCAGGCACCGGCACCGCACCCCGGCCGGCCGGAGAGAGTAGGACGAGAGTGGGACACGGGGAGGTCAGCGTGGGATCCGGGAAAGGGGAGAAGGAGAGAGCGAGGGGGGGGGGGGTCACCGGATACCCGCCGCCGGGGCTGATCCAGATCAGCGGCGGGCCCACGTGCGGCGTCCGCAGCCGGGCCCTGACCTCCCGCAGAATGACGAGTGACAGCTGATGAGTCGTCAGGTGCTGACGTCGCCTGTTGCGTTGACAGACGGCGGTCTGCTGATGAGTCGCCAGGTGCTGACGTCGCCTCTTGCGTTGACAGACGGTGGCCTGCTGATGAGTCGTCAGGTGCTGATGTCGGTGGCCGGCCGGCGCAGCCAGTGTGAGGCGGAGCACGGCTCGGCCGGCCAGGACCGGGCCCTCATCGCCTGCCTGGAGCAGCAGGCTGGCCTGGCCTGCTCCGACCATGTACAGGTGAGCGCTCGACCCGTCTGACCTGACCTAGTCTGACATGACCTGTCTGACGTGACCTTTCCGACCTGACCTGAGCGTATAAAGCTTCTGTGGTCAACACAGTCAGCTCACGTGTCAGCCATCTGTGGTTGTATTGAGCGCGGCTGTCGTACACCTGAGCGCGGCTACCTCAGCCACCGTTCGGCACGCCGGACTGTGGCCGTGTCTCTCCAGTCCCGCTCGGCCGGGCTGGCGGCGGACGCCGCTCTCTCGCCCGCCGGCGGCGGACGCGGCGCGGCGCGTGGGTGACGTAATCAGTGCCGCCGCGGCCTTGGCGCCGCCGGCGTCCGCCTGGCCAGCGCCGCCCGGCCGGACGGCTCCGGCTGTTGCGGTCCGGGCCCGGCGCCGTCTGGGTCACCGCTCGGGAGCGGCGCGGAGAGGCTCCGGCTGTTGCGGTCCGGGGTCCGGCGCCGTCTGGCTCACCGCCCGGGGGCGGCGCGGAGAGGTTCCGGCTGGGCCGCCGTCGATGGAAAGAGTTAACACCGCGTCAGACTGGACCTGTTGTAGTGGTAATTACTGGGATGAAGTTTTTCCTATAAAGTGGTTAATGTTGTTATTTTGTGCAGGCAGCTCAGTGCTCTTTAAGTTTCTTCATGGTAAATACGAGGTTCGATTCCCCCTTCAGGGTGAGAAGCAGGCGAGGCTGTGTAGCCTTGGAACTAGAGACTGCGCGGTAAAGCCCCAATGACACACTGGTAAATACCGGCGTTAGTTGTATGGCAAATGCGTTCAGTTATGTCGAGTTGTCAATGTAAGGATGAATGCCCACGTTTAGTGTCCAAATGTGTTCAGTTTATTTCGGGTTGACAGTGCGTAAATGCTTGAGCTCCACCTTCTGTTACCGTTCCATTTATCCCGTGCCTTTTTAAACGCTGCGAGATGCAGACCACATGTGAGTATACTGGAAGCATGTGATGTTAGTTTTTTCATTAAAATCCCGAACACAGCGATGAGGCAGCGTTGGGATTCCTCTAAATCCATGATGTAGCACGCACAATCCATAACAGAAATTGCATGCACGTAGCACACGAAAATTGTATGCACGCCGCACAGTACATGCCACCTTGCCATTAACTAGCCAAGGTACAGGGAACATGGTCGCTCATTGCACTGCAAGGAGCACTGCCAGACGGTTTGTCTTCCGAAATCGGCGAGGTCGAGCTGTTGGTGGCCGACTGGTAGCGGCGGGCGACGCTGCTTGCTGTGGCCAGTTGCGCGTCTCTCTGTAATGAGAGTGTAGCGTCGGACTCTTCTTTTTAAAGCGTTCACAGTATGGATGTCATCGGCTGGTGTCGATACTGTGCTATTGTATCACCATTTTATGCACACCGTACGCAGAAATCGTAGGCACGCCGTACACGGAAAGCATTAAATTTTTATGCACGTCGTGTACAGCAATTGCATGCACGTAGCACACAGAATTGTATGCACGCCGCGCAATTGTACGCCCACTCAAACGGAACGGACAAGACCGTCCACGGCGTCTGCACTAACTGCATGTACTACTTCATATCATCACAAATGTGATGCTGATTCACATCTGTCGTTAACTCCGTACCGCTCGATGCCGCGCCATCACTACAGCTGCGAACTGCACTTGCCGACGTTCGCGGCCTGCTCTCCGTGTGCTGCGGAGCGCGGTGCGCCGCCGCCAGCCGCCCCCTCACCTCGCCCCGTCCCCCCGCAGCGCAAGAAGTTCGTGTCCGGGGCGTGGTCGGAGCTGGACCCGGCGTCGGTCGTTGACCAGCCGGGCCTCGTCACGGTGCGCGGCGTGCACAGCACCGCGGACGCCAACCGGCTGCACGCCGCCTTCTCGCGGCTCGAGATCGGCCAGATCGACGAGCGGATCAGCGAGCTCCGGCTGGCGCTCGAGGCCAACCAGCGCAACATGCATGCCCTCAGCCGCGCCAAGAACGGTACGCGGCGGAGGCGACGGTGGCGCTGGGATCGGGTGGTGGGCAGGCTTGTGCTGGCTCATGTCACGACTCTGTATTAGCCCCAGTTCGTGCCCAACCTTTCGGAGAGTGGGTGAGGGTCGAGGTCCATGCAAGTCATTGATGATGACACTTTTGAAGGAAATGAGAAGGTCAGAAGCTTTCTTTGGGAGTGCATGGGGCCTTTGTCTCTGGGGACATGGTGTTGCGCTCGGCTTAGTTGTTCGCGGAGGGCTAACTGTAAAAGAACGCACCACCGCTGCCTCGGATACGCACCCAGCATCAGACAGGTTAGGGGGGGGGGGGGGGTGACTGGATGGGCAGAATTCATTATTGGTGCCTTGACTGAGCATAAGTGGGTGCTTATGGTTCTTGAAGTCCGTTGCGCCAATTTAGCCGTTGTGGTGTGTCGTCATAGTGTGATGCGCTATGATCAGTTTACATATGCTGCTATAATCAAGCCAGCGCACTCCAGCGAAAGCTTGGGGTGCAGATCGAGACCCGCGATCGTGCGAGCACAAGTGCTGCGCGCGACGTTCGTGTGACGGGCGCGCGTGTCCGGGCCGGCAGGGGGTCTCGGCGACTCGGCGGACGAGGCGGCGCCCGAGCCGCTGCCGTGGCCGGCGGGCTCGGCGGCGCCCGTGCGCACCAGCAGCCGCCACCACATCAACATGTGGCTGCGCTTCTCCGAGACGCACAGCTACCTGCAGACGCCCAACGGCGTCAGGGACGCGCACAGCCGCGTGGACAAGCTGGACGTGGAGGTCAGTCGGCGGGCCAGGAGAGGGGCAGAGGGAGGCGCAGCGCGGGCATGCCATCGTTGGCGGTCGGAGCGGCTGCTCGGTCACGCGTCCGTCTCATCTCTGCCGCCCACCGCGGCTGCTGGCGGCTGCTGCCAGCTGCACCGACTGCTAGCGTCTGTGCTGGCATTGTGCCATGCTTTGTCTCGGGATCCTGTGCGTTGGGGTGGGAGCATGGCCGTCCTGACCGGCCCCGCACCGTCCCCACAGGACGTCATTGCGCTGGGCATGGCCGAGGTGCGCAAGTCGGGCCCGTACCGGATGGTGAAGCTGAAGGCTGGCTACCGGCGCTTCGACGGAGGCCGAGGCATGGACTACATCATGGATCTGGAGGTGCAGCCCGAGCAAGGCGGCGACTCGGAGATCCGCAGGTGGGCCCGGACAGTGGTTGGGTAGAGGCGGGGGAGGACCTGGTGGTGACCTTTCCAGGTCATCAGCACCTGGCGAGGACGCTGGTGACCTGGAGGGGAGGGCGACCATGACCTCGCCAGCAGGGACCTGCGTGTAGCACGAAAAGCGGTCGCGTTCGGGTTCGCACGCTCGTTCGAATGACCGGGGCTGAACCTCGTCTCGAGAGACACTGATCAGCTGGAATTAGTGAAGCGATCTGGTTCAGGTGCAGTCGAGGAAGGCTGCGGCCTGGTCACGATGTGCCCAGACCATCACCGGCGTCTGCGCCGCCCGCAGGGTGGAGGTGCACCGTCCGATGCTGAAGGCCGAACTGGTGCCGATGCCGTTCGTGACGGAGAAGCCGACGGTGACGGTGGTGCTGCCCGTCACTGCTGACCAGGTGGGACGCCGGCCGGGCAGCCGGCCCCCCCCCCCCCTTCGCCTGACTGCCGGATCAACCGGGCGGCCACCACTGACAGTGGTCGTATTTTGTCGGCTGATGTTCTTAGCCCGCGCAATGTTCCTCCGCTATATCTCCGCGTTCCGTTCGCGGCGACGCGTCCGCGTACCGAGTCCAGCGACTGACGACTGACCAGCGACCGACGTTTTCCGTCACAGAGCTGAACCTCAATTTCGGCGGATCCCCTCGCGGGTCAAGGCGACGTGCAGTGCCATCTACCGCCAATGTCGCACACCTGATGTGGGCGGGACGCTCACCGCGCCCGCCCCATGTCGCAGATCACGAGGGCGGAGCAGTTCGTGCAGAACGTCATCAACAACAACGAGAACCTGAGCGTGGTGCTGTACCTGATCGCCGGCGACTCCAGCCTGGAGGTGTTCCGGCCTCTCGTGCAGCTCGTGCAGGTACAGCTCCGGCCACAGCCCAGTAACAGCTGATCTGATCTGATCTGATGCCTGATCACTGCTGAGTGACAGGTGCTGAGGCCTGGTGGCCGAAGGTTGATGACATCTGTATCTGAATGCAGGGTTCGTGGTTTGGTTTTTGCAGCAACGGACACGCTGACCGGTGTCAATCGTGATGTGGTAGCGCTAATGCCTCGTGCAGGACATTAACGCCACCGCGTTCACCTACGTGGAAAGCGTAGGTGAAATTACGGTGGGGTTTCGGTTTTTCGCCGTCCCCGGCTTGTGGCATCGGTACATGTCTCTGTTTGTGCCCAATGCCGGTGACCCGTGCGCTGCAGCGTGCTAGGACCGAGCAGCCATCTCGCCCCGAAGCCCGGATCACGCCCCGTCACCCCGCCTCCGACCCATCTGCCGTCGGTACCGCCTGTGACCCGCGGTGCGCCACCCCAGGCCAGCAACAAACGGTCGGCGTCCATGTCACGGCGCATGGGCTGGATGACGGTCAAAGAGACGAAGGCGCCGTCGCAGTTCTTCATCATGGACGCCGTCAGCAAGAAGGTGTCGAGCAAGGCGCTAATCCTGCTGTTCAACGAGCCCGCACTGGAGTACGACTCGGAGCTCTTCAACAGGGTCAGTGGCCGGACCCGATGTGTGTCGGAGCTCCTCAGCAGAGTCGGTGTCCAGCCGCCCGGTGGGCGCCCCTCAGAGGCGTCTTTGCGAGACGCCGAGTTGGCGTGGTACAGCCGTGTTGAATGAGATGCGTTGCCGTTGTTACGGGGACAGGTGCAGGGTATGTGTGATGTTGTCTGGCGCTACATCGAGACATAACGTGGAAGCTTCACCGACATGTCCTGGTGCCCGTGGCGCCAAACAGTAGATCTCGCTCGTAGATCCACACACAAGCTCCATTTACGGTGGGCTATTGTGAAGTAGCAAGCTATGCCTTGTCTGTAGTTTGATACCGAACTGTCTCCCACGTGTCCCTCGGCGTTGCTCCGCGCGTCACACGCACCCTTGCCCTCCCCCTTGTGTTGTTCAACATGTCCAAACACCTCTCACTCCCCATTGGCGTTACCTGGCGCGTCACGGACGAGCCCCAGCTCGTTCCGCTGAGCCTGGTTCTGCCGGCGCTGGCCCTGACGTTCCCCGTACTCGTCGCCAGGCTCGTATGCAGACAATCCGCGGTTGGGAGATATTCTGCCCGATACCCTGGGTGGAGTACCATCCGGACCTTATCTACAACGACGGCGCGCGCGGCGACAAGCTCGAGATCCACAAGAACTACGGACACTTCGACGGCGACTTCTACGGCATCCTGTCCTTCTACATGGACGACTACCTGACCAGTGAGTGGGTCGGGGCGCGCTGCGTGACCTCGTGCGGTTGATGCGCCGGGAATACGCCAAATCATCATCATGATGGGTCGCAGCAGCCGCAGGCTCCGGCTGGTGTCTACTGAGCCGAGCACGGGCGGCTTTGGCTCGTGTTGACTGCGCGGTTGTCCTCTGTCCCTGGTGCGCCATTCATTTTACCCCTTTAGCTTTCCGGGCTCTTCTCGCGTGTGGACGCCCCCCATTGGAGACGCACTGCGCGTCCCGTCCAGTTTCGGTGGGAAGCAGACTTCACAGGAAAGGGGACCCACCGACCTGGTCCTGCATCGAAGCCAGTGGGTCCGCTCTGTCCGACGTCTGCGTGTAAGCTGGCTGGGTGTGACGAATCACTGAGTCCCTTCACATGTCACCCGTGGTCGGTGTTTAGATTCCTCGCGCCCAGCCGCGTTCTCGGAGGCATGTGAGCGCGCGGCGGCTGCCGTTGCGCGTTATAACCGACCGGTCCGTTCGTGTCGACAGTGCGCGAGAAGACGCTGTCGGACATCCCGCGCTTCCATTCGAGCAGCCCGGCGGCCGACCAGCCCGACCTGCACCCGTACGATCTGTACGGCGCCTTCCTGCGCCACTCGGGCCTGCACGCGCACCGCGCCGTCGACCCCAGCTTCCGGCTCTACTACTTCACGCGCACGTGCCCGGCCAGCCCGCGCGTCTTCCACCAGAGGGCATGCGTCAACTCGCTGCTTGCGGGAATCGGATCGCAGCATCAACTGGCCGAGGTGCTCGAGGAGTACCGCAAGCACCGGGCACAGGCCGCGGCCAACGCTATCTAGCGGCTCAGCGGCCGTGCCATCTATCGGCAGGCCTGGGAAACGTGGGGATTATGAGCATGACGGTGGCGGGTTTGTTTGAAAATGGGTAAAATACTCCCGCTTTGTTCCGAACAATTTTAAGATGCAGTATTGATGTGGGAAGCAACTGATACTATGATAACGTATACCTGGATCAATGTCGCCAGGGTGCTTCGATGCTTTACTCGTTAGACCACGTACTGCTTGGGCCACAATGTGCCCTTGTCTTGGATCAGTAGACCATTATGTGGTCCCTGCCGCATCTTTCGCTGACGATGCTCTTTTGAGGTATGGTTTGTGGTTTTGCTCACGTCCTGTTTGTCTTGCCAAACCCCTCTATGTTCATATACGTTTACATGCCTCGGGAATCATGATGGTGATCCATTACATTTCCGTTGCGTACAGCCACGGTGAGGCGCGTTGTTGCCACAACTGCCCCTGTTGCTCGACCAGCCGGACTGTTCATTAGCTGATGTCTGAAGGATACTCACTGGCGTCGATCCTTGCAATGGTATGCACCTCATCCACCAAGTCTCTACGTCGCGCATCATTTTCCTGAGAAAGTTTTACATCCGGGCAGTCACCAACCTTTCGTTGTGTTGAAGAGGTCCAAAAAGCTGTGACTTTTGTGAATGTGACATATTTTTAACGTGGCATGTTTTTTGTCCGACTTTCTGTATCACGAATACAAACTGACTTTTTATGAAGTTTCTTTCGCTTCGTGTGTCTCACCATGGACCGTCCCAGCGTTGAAACACGGGTCCCGGAGGTGCAGTTGAAGAACGCTTCCTTGGGGGCGAATACCTCCCGGGCGACAGCTGTTCGTGCGGCCGAAGCGGCAGATGTGAAGGCACGGTGTTCGTCAGGTGGCCACCGCTCCCTCCAGTTTCGGCTCTCGAAGAAATGGCGTCAAATGCTTAGGTGAAAACGGTGCGACCGCCCCCACTCGGACAGCTGGTAGCCTCGAGACGCCTGCTCCTGCGGACCCGAACGCTGACCTCGCGCCGACCCAACGGCGTCCGTCAGCCGGGCCGGACTGTCCCGCGCGCGGATCGTCGCCCAGCGGCGCACCGCCGTCTCGCCAGCTGCCCTGGCGACGCTGCCGTCGCGCGTCAGGAGAAGGCGCTGCTCACCGGCTCGGGGCCGACGGCAGGGTACAATCAGAGTGCGGGGCGACAGAAAACGATAATGATGTGGTGGTGATGATGCGCAACAACTGCGCAGGACTACGAGCACGACTGGAGAGGAGAGAAGACTTCAGAGGCAACGATTATTATCGCCGAGGCATTAGCTCCACGGTGGAAGCTGTCATCTCCCGGTTAACAGCCAACCAGGGGACGCTCGGCTGAGTCCCACTGAGAACCAGCTGACGTCTTGGCCGAGTCCGACCGAAAACCAGCCTTCCACCGAGTCGACCGAAAGCCAGCTGACGTCACGGCCGAGTCCGACCGAGAACCAGCTGACGTCACGGCCGAGTCCGACCGAAAACCAGCTGACGTCGCGGCAGAGTCCGACCGAGAACCAGCCTACCGCCGAGTCGACCGAAAGCCAGTTGACTTCACGGCCGAGTCCGACCGAGAACCAGCTGACGTCACGGCCGATTCCGACCGAGACCAGCTGACGTCACTGTCGAGTCCGACCGAAACCAACTGACGTCGCGGCCGAGTCCTACCGAGAACCAGCCGATGTCTCCGAACGGCCGACTAAGCAGCGATGATCGAGAACTGCCGGCCGGGATTGATCTCACCGCTGTCCCGCGCTCGCCAATGGCTGTCATGAAACCAATTACGAAAGAAATGTGTAACGAAAGGGGTAAGAAACTGAAACTAAATGTACATTCGTTACACAGAGTACCGTTTTATGTGTTTGGAGTGGGACAAAGCCCAATCAGCAGTTTGGCGGGGGACTAGAAAGGAATCTCTGTGCGTGCGCACGGTATTTGCTAACAACCTTGTAAGCTCGGTTAATCACGCTTGGCTGATAGCCCTGTCGTGCTTGCCATTCCAGCTTCCGCGCCGCGCGGAAGATTAGCAGCAGGTGAGCGCAGTGCGTTACAAATGATGCGGTGCTTTGAGCCAGGGGTCGGGAATATGCCAGAAGCCAAGGATTGCTCGAGCACCGGTGTCGTTTGCATCGTTTGGACACATGTTGCGGCACTGGGCACTGGAGGCGGCCCCAGACGTTATGTCGATTGTGATCACATAGTACCAGCACCTAAGCTAATGGAACCAGACACCTGCGGACGCCTGCACCAAAACGTCTGATCAATGCAGCGACGAAAGGTCCTTTTATTGGAGTGAATCCGGCAAATGGTCACTGCTGTAGTATTCACACCCTGATCCACGGTGGTATAACGTCGTCGTATAATAAATAACGTCGCTTAAGGTTGGCTACTGGTATGTCCAGACCTGTTTATTGCAGTCGATGAAATTGATTAATTCCTAATGAGTTACGGTTTTGGTGACTAACCAGCGCATTGGGAAACACTCAGCTGTATCGGATAGCCAATGACCGCGGCGAACTAAACTGAAAGTCAGTGTAGTTTTGGTGCCTTCTTTTCTCTGCGTTTAGGATACAGCCAGACGTATTCGAAGCCGGCATCGGAAAGGTATCTGGCCACCCTTCGGTCCACTTATTGTACACCACGTGGCAGACAGAGGTGAGATTTATCAGCGATTCATAGACTATACATTTTGACTCTCAGCATTTGCGCAAAGCTGTCGATACTCACAGACATTAGTCAGAGGCCATATGTTTGTAGAGATAAGCCTCAACATTCACGCAAGTCCATCGATGTTTCCTGCCGTAAAAAGACTTCCCATTTGCCTGTGTTTAAGGCGAATAACAGATAGGCCAAGCCATGGGCAAGATGGCGCCACTTGCATACGTGGCAAGCAGACCCGACCTTGACTACGGGTCAGCGGGACATGATCCAATCAGAGAATCAATGCCGACGTGGTCCATGCCGTTGACAACAGTTTAGGATGTGACATTCAATATGGTCTTCATAAAACTGTTAACTGGACATTTATTTTCTTAACACCACAGTTTTATACGACTGTGCTTGGCTTAGTACGCACAAGCTATCAGACAATCCGAAGACGCTGTTGCCTCAATGTCTATTTGGGTCGACCTAGCGATGGCTTAATTGGCTTAACTCCACCTGCATCTCTGAAAATTTCGAGGGATCAGTTCCGACCCGGCTCGACAACAGATTGGTTGATTCTGAAGCCCATCCCGACTTCATCTAGAGCCGAGCACGAGCCCGGACAGAGTGAGCTGTAACGCTGCCTCATCATCCGTCAAAGGTCACTAAAATCGGTCGGCCTGCGTGCGGCAGATCCTCTTCCGCCCACATTCTGGGGAAGACGGCAAGGGTCCATCGCGGGGCGGGCACATGTAGGTGGTTGGGCGGGAAGGGCAAACAACTAGGGAGGGGTGGAGATACCGCCACAGACCTCAAACATCGCGGGCACATGTAGGTGGGTGGGCAGGAAGTGGAGACAACTGGGGAGGGGTGGAGATCTCGTCACAGGCCTCAAACATCGCAGGCGCATGTAGGTGGTTGGGCGGGAAGGGCAAACAACTGGGGAGGGGTGGAGATACCGTCACAGACCTCAAACATCGCGGGCACATGTAGGTGGTTGGGCGGGAAGGGCAAACAACTGGGGAGGGGTGGAGATACCGTCACAGACCTCAAACATCGCGGGCACATGTAGGTGGTTGGGTGGGAAGGGCAAACGACTGGGGAGGGGTGGAGATACCGTCACAGACCTCAAACATCGCGGGCACATGTAGGTGGGTGGGCGGGAGGGGGAAACAACTGGGGAGGGGTGGAGATACCGTCACAGACCTCAAACATCGCGGGCACATGTAGGTGGGTGGGCGGGAAGGGGAAACAACTGGGGAGGGGTGGAGATACCGTCACAGACTTCAAACATCGCGGGCACATGTAGGTGGTTGGGCGGGAAGGGGAAACAGCTGGGGAGGGGTGGAGATACCGTCACAGACCTCAAACATCGCGGGCACATGTAGGTGGTTGGGCGGGAAGTGTAAACAACTGGGGAGGGGTGGAGACACCGTCACAGACCTCAAACATCGCGGGCACATGTAGGTGGGTAGGCGAGAAGTGGGGACAACTGAGGAGGGGCGGAGATACCGTCACGGACCTCAAACATCGCGGGCACATGTAGGTGGGTGGGCGAGAAGTGGGGACAACTGAGGAGGGGTGGAGATACCGTCACGGACCTCAAACATCGCGGGCACATGTAGGTGGGTGGGCGGGAAGGGGAAACAACTGGGGAGCGGTGGAGATACCGTCACAGACCTCAAACATCGCGGGCGCATGTAGGTGGGTGGGCGGGAGGGGGAAACAACTGGGGAGCGGTGGAGATACCGTCACAGACCTCAAACATCGCGGGCACTTGTAGGTGGGTGGGCGGGAAGTGGGGACAACTGGGGAGAGATGAATATACTGTAACAGACTTCAAACTTCAGACAAATATGAATGTTCAGACTTGCCTTTCGTGAAATCGATGTTGATGAAGTTCGCAGTATTTCCTAATACGGGATGTCGATAACTGAATATCTAGATACGGCATGCCAGGCATATGATAAGTGTTCACGAGATATGGCACATTTTAAAATACCTGGATCGACATACGCGTGTTACGGAACATTCAAATACCTTCCGAGATAACCACAGTTATTAAAAACAAGCGTGCAACGAATATCAGACCCGGCTAGCAGGTAGTTCTTTATCTATTTGCATCGTACAACATGAGCAATATTATTTAAATTTGGTTCCAATTCTATCTGCCTGAAACCCTCTAACTCCTGCAAACAGCCTTTCAACACGCGGCTGATGGGGAACAGCAGAAAGACCGCTAGTTATGCAAAAGGGGCACCTTGCTGCCCACGAGCAAGTGAGCAAATACACATAAGCAGTAAGTCAAAGCACAAGCTTACCGTGCTGCGGCGCGGTAACGTGAGTAGAATACTGTACCGCAATGCCGGCACAATACGGTCATGCGCCGATAGGCGGGGAATGTATGCAGGTGCGGTGGCTTGACCATATTTGGTCAACATTTGACAGGATTCTCTGCCCGTGGGTGTGTGGGACTGGTACGCCAGTACACTGGTGTACCGGCCTCCCGAGCAGCATGCTGAAAACACCATTCTTTGAAAGCGTGCTTCGAGACGAACGCCAGGCAGCAATACCTAGAGAAGACCCTGTGAGGACGAAATGTCGCAAGCTTCTCACGCGTGCCACGAAAGAGGTCTTCGCCGACAGGAGGCGCCCCGAGCCGAGTGTAGCGGCGTCCTCCAATACCGGGCAGCCGTGTGTCCTAGGCTTACACAATGCCCCAACCCAGCTACAGACTCCACGCCATGGTGATGGCGTGTTCCCAAGCCAACCTGAGATCTTCCAAGCCGAGATAAGGGGACGCCCCCCGAGTCCAAGCGGAGGGGTACCCTTACCCTCAATGGAAGGGCGTCCCAAAGACCCGGCGAGGAGGCGCCCCACACCAAAGTCAATGTGCACACCCAAGCCTTTGATGAGGCAGATGAAAGTCTCCACGCCCAAGTACGGCTGCCTCCTAAAAGAGCGGCGCCTATAAATCCAGGCAGACCAGTGCCCTTAGATGCAGATAACAGTCACCATATACCACATTAGAAAGACTCCCCAAAGCTTTTGGAAAA